GCCCTCGGATCATCTCCGGGGCCTCCTCTGGCCCCGCTCCAGCAGCTCCATGTCCTTCTTGTATTGGGGCCCCCAGAGCTGAAGGCAGCACTGCGGGGGGGGGGGGCGGTCTCAGGAGAGCAGAGCAGAGGGGCAGAATTCCCTCCCTCGACCTGCTGCCCACGCTGCTTTGGATGCAGCCCAGGACACAGTTGGCTTTCTGGGCTGCCAGCGCACGGTGCCGGCTCATGTTGAGCTTCTCATTGCTCTGTTCTGGACTCACTGATGAAGAAGAAAAGTTGAATCTTTCCGCCCTTCTCAGGAGGGCATTTCCAGCACAGCCCAGGAGGCTTTGGAGTGCCAGCACCCAAATCAGCACCATCTCCACCACCAGAGGTGTCTCTGTGGACACCCTCCATGGATGAGACGCAGGAGAAGGCATCTGCAGGTCTCCCCCCCACCATCACCTCCTCAGGCCCCGGTGCTGGTGGGGGGATGTCTCAGCAGGGTTTTTCATGTTTGGAGACCTACACCAGCATCTCGGGTCATTTGCCAAAGCCTTACACGCAATAGCGCTGCTTGGGCCGATGTTCCTTGGGGCTTTAGATCTGTGGAAGAGGTCTCCCCTTGCTCTTCTCCACCTCTTACCTGGTTTTGTGATGAAGGGTGCCGAAACGGTGTCTGGCCGGCCAGAACAACAGTGGCCTTTCCCACAGGCAAGGTTTTGCTCCCCTGAGTGCCCCCGCTGCCTCCACACACCTCCGAGATGAAGGCAGGAGGCACCACCTCCAGCCCTGACCCCGAGTCTCTAGTTGTGGCGTTGACTCCAACCCTCCTTCCCTGACCGTACAGTCTCGCTGCCTTGTGCCTCTTGGCTTGACATCCCTCCAAGCCCATTTTGGGTGGGTTTGTTGCTCCAGGTGAGCGACCCTGGCAGCGTTGGGCTTCTCCTAAATCTCACATTTCCATTCAAAGCCAACTATGAGGCTACTGTGGGTCAAGGACACCCGCTCAAGTTTGAAGATCAATCATTACTCCACCCGCTTTTTTATTTCTCCCCACTATTGACTCCTTCAATCCAGGAGCTGCTCCATCTTTTCCACCCACACCCTACGTGTCTGCACATCTCTGGTGCCAGCAGAGTGGTGTTTCACCCCACCCTTCCCACATTCCTCCTGGATCTCTGTGTCCAACCCCCCCAACCCTTCTCCAGACTCACAGAGGATCCACAACAGGATGATGGGGAGGTCAAGACAGGAGCTTTGATCCCCCCCAAAAAAATTATCCCCAAGCAGCTTAATCCTCATGCACAAATCCCTGCCTTTTACTTTAGCTTTCTTCCTGGCTTTCCAAAGCTTACTCAAGGCTAGAGACGATGCAGACCACTGGAAAGCCTTGCAGGAGCTCTGGGACCTCACTCCATGGTCATCCCACCATCAAGCCTAAGCCCTCCCCAAGTCTCCTTTCACCCTTGGGCTACCGGAGAAGAGAAACGTCACAGACCAGGAAATACAAATATAGACTCGAAAAGGAAACCGAAAGTGAGCGGCTCGCCAAAGGAACGAGCGGGAGAGGAGAGAAACGGGAGAAAGAGGTTGATTTCTGTTCATTTCCCAGCGGGGGCGCTCCTTTGGCTGCAGAGCCAAAGATGCTTCTCGTTGGTGGACGTCATCTTCATGCCTGCCCCGCAGAGACGGCTTGACCCGCCAGGGAACGACTGATCCCAACAAGGTGAATCCAGCACCCCTGGGGACGGAGTGCAGGGACTAAACCCAGTGACTGAGGGGAGATTTCGATGGGATCTGAGGGAGAAATTCTGCCCTCTGAGGGTGCTGAGGCACTGGCACAGGTTGCCCAGAGAAGCTGTGGCTGCCCCATCCCTGGCAGTGTTCCAGGCCAGGTTGGATGGGGCTTTGGGCAACCTGGTGTAGTGGAGGGTGTCCCTGCCCACGGCAGGGGGGTTGGAACTGGATGGTCTCTGAGGTCTTTTCCAACCCAACCATTCCATGATTCTATGATTGTTCAGAAAACGGGGAGGAAACACAGGGCTGTGAGGATCCGGACCAGGGCAGGCTGCGCACAGGACCACGTAGACCCCTTTGCAACCATGCCAGCTTAGAGGAACCTGGGCTGAAGACTCTTCTGTGTTCAGAAAACGGGGAGGAAACACAGGGCTGGGAGGCTAGCTCCATGCTAGCCAAGTCTCGGAGCTCCAAGGTGGGTTTTCAGCAGGCGAAGGTATCTCATAACTCTGGAAATCCCCTGGGCTTCCCGCACAAGCCCAGCACCGCCGCATCAGCAGCTGGGTCGCATGTCCTTCTGGCGTTTGGGGAAACTCTGACACAAATAAAAAGGCGAAATTGAGAAACTCTGCTCTTCCCAGCGACGCCGAGCGAGTATTGCGTGTTATCTCAAGGCAGGAACATTACAGGGCTGAGGCTGCGGACAAAACTGGGGGGAGCTGGTTTCACACTGGGGATGCTGGAGTCCTGCTGGGACACGGCGTGTCCCACTGGGGACAGTCGGGGCGTACCCCAAGCCACCCAAAAAGAGGCGCCCACAAAAACGGTGCACAGCACCACGATGACGGAGCCTCTTTTAGGAGGAAGGCACCAGGTTGCATCCGACATGGCAATGCCCCTCCTGCCTGCCCCATCCTCGCTTCCTCCGCCCCGAAAAGACGCTGGGTCATGCCCCACGTCACTGGGAGGAAACCAGCCTCAGCTTCCCCTTCTGTGGTGTGGTCATGGGGAGCGCGGCGCTGCCCGCGGATGAGCATGGCGAGGAGCCGGCTGGCCGGGGCTGCGGGCACCCTGCTGCTGCTGGGCTGGCTGGCAGGTAGGTGGTGGGGCAGGGTGGTTGCAGGGCAATGTGGATCGTTGCGCTGAGGGGCAGCACCACCGGATGACACGGGGTGGGTTTTAAGCGGTCCTCCGGGGAAGTCTCCAGAGAGAGGAGAAGTCAAAGCGTCAGTCGAGAGCCAAAAGTGTGAGTTTCTGGAGCAGTTTCTAAGGAGTCCGAGAGCCTGAAAACAGACAATGGGCTTCCTGGAGGGGCTGAAGGTCCATCTCTGTTGCAGCAGGTTGTGGACAACCCTTGGCCAGTGACTTATTTTGCCAAGAGAGACATAAGGTGGCAGCTTTCACAGACAGAATCGCATCCTCGAGCTGATCCATAAGTACGGGGTTGGTCCCTCTCGGCGTCCAGGCATGGTGTGGTTGTCCCTGGATGGGCAGGAAGGGACGAGGCATCACCCAAAAGCCCCTTTTGCTCCTCACTGCTGATTTCTGACCCTCTTCGTGCTGAGGTCTCCCCATCTTCTGCAAGCTTTCCCAAGGTCGCATCTCCAAACTCCAAGGGATGTCCTCTGCACCGTGTCCTCTCTGAGACCAGCAGACCGTCTCAGACCAGCCTCTTCTGCTGTCTCACACAGGTGCTGCTGGGATGGAGACAGAGAGCTGCAGCTCCCCAGGTGAGTGCAGACCAAACGGGGGATGGGAGAAACCCTCCAGGTCCACGTTGTGAAGTTGCTTATGCCCTTTGGAGGGTGTCTGCTGATCCTGGCACGTCCATAAAGGCAGCTCTGATCCTGGGGCTGGTGCCTCCTTTCAAGGCAGAAGGCAAACTGAAAGGAAAAAAGAGAAATCCACCATGTGTGGGGGTTTTTGGTAGAGTGTGGCATGAAAGATACCAGTTTTGCTGGGAGGATTTTGGCCAAAGAAGATGCGATTTTTAATTTTATGATGGAGTGGGAAATATTGGCTTGAAATTAAAGAAAACGAAACCGTTCCCCTTTGGACACGCCACAGCGAAGTGCTTTGTTGTCCCAGAACTTACATCTTTCATCTGAGCCTTTTCTAAATACTCAGCTTGGATGGGAAAAAAGGGTTTGGTGCCTCAAACCATGTTTGCCACCGTTATTGCCCCTCCTGGTTTTCTCCCACCGTGTTTACCCCTATCCATGCCGACTCCTGAAACGAGCAAAGCTTTTCCTTTCCTACAGCCAATGTGTTTTGAGTCATCAGATGACTGAAAAACAGGCTCTTCCAATCTCATCTTCCTTTTCCCTGCCTTTAATTTGCTATTTCCACCAAAAAAAAGAGCAGGTACAAGGTCAACACTAAGGTTGGAGAGCTACAAATCCATTGCTCACCAGTGCTCATCTCCACATCATCATACCATGACCACGTCTCTTTGCTCTTCCAGGTGACTATCCCCCACCGGCATTCTTACCAAACACCTCCTCAGCTCGGGAAGGTGACTTGATTCTTGCCCGGTGTCTCGTTTTTTCCCATGTCCCCATCACCCACATCTTCTTCTGCAAGGACGGGGTGGAGTTGACCAACCACCCGGTGGGAAAAGGCCAGTTCAGCTCCACGATCGCCATCCAGCTCTCTGCAGAGAGCAGCGGCACCTACTCATGCGGGTACCAGCGCTGGAGCAGCCTCGGACACGTCCTGGTTTCGAGGTTGAGTGTCCCATGGCTCCTGACCACCAGAGGTTAGTGGCCAAGGATATGGGGAGGTTGATCCAGCCCCATATCAGAGACACCCCTTGAGAAACCCCAGAAGAGATTGCCCCTGTCTGTAGGGACTTGAGTCCTTGCAGCGCCAACGCAGTTGGCTCTTGACCAGCAAGACCAGTTCACTGCAGGGATGCTCCTGGTTTACTGCAGGTCCTTACAAGGTCAGTCGAGTTGGGACTTGGCCAGCAAGACCAGTTCACTGCAGGGATGCTCCTGGTTTACTGCAGGTCCTTACAAGGTCAGTCGAGTTGGGACTTGGCCAGCAAGACCAGTTCACTGCAGGGATGCTCCTGGTTTACTGCAGGTCCTTACAAGGTCGGTTGAGTTGGGACTTGACCACCAAGACCAGTTTGCTGCAGAGACGGTCATGGTTAACCCCAGGTCCCTGCAGTACCAACACAGTTGGGTCTTGACCAGCAAGACCAGTTCAGTGAAGGGACACTCTCAGTTAATCCCTCTAGAGTATCCTGGGACCAGCCTAGGAGGAGCCACATGCCATCACTGCTTGGCCACACGTGGGCAACCCCCGCAGCATGGGGAGGAGAGGGCAGTTTTAGGGTGACCTTTTCTCCACGTGTTTGTTGTGCAGGTGGGCAGCATGACCCGAGGAATGGCAGCCTTGCCACCAGCCCAGAGCTGCCAGCTGGAGGTAAGCATCCCTGGTTTTCTGGATTAAGTTTGGCCAAGCGTCCTGGTTTCCAGGCTCCAAGGTGCCACCAGTGATGTTGCCAACTTCAGCTTGGCCAGACCCTGCAAGTGGAAATTCCTCATTTTTTCCTTCCCCAGGGAGTTTAGACCTTTACCACAAAGCAGCTGAGATACCTGCTGAAGTTCCCTTCACCTTCACATCACTCCCTGTTGAGTGCTTGGGGCAAACCAGCTGAGGAAGGGACCAATATTCCCAACCCTCTCCCAAGATCTGGAGGTCCCTGGGTTGACCATATTCCAAGACCTGGAGGTCCCTGGGTTGAGTACAAGCTGTCGTGAGCTCTCGTTTCAAGGAAAGAAAAGTAAATATGGGGCTTCATGAGGATGAGCGTGGCCAGCAGATTATGGGGACCTTCCATCTCAGTGCTCTGGAGATCACTTCCCACCAACACAGCGGTGGCTCTGCAGGTTTCCCAGCATGACCAAAACTGAACCACACAGCCCAGGATGTGGTGGGGATGGTCCGGGGCTTGGCTTTACCCACCGTTGGCTCTGAGGGATCCAGTGCTCCTTCTCACCACCATCTGCCTTCTTTCTCTCAGGGTTGGGAGTCTGCGTCAGCCTGGCCTTTGTGGTCTTCTGCTTCCTGGTTCTGGCTTTGGGCATCCATCTCCTCCTGCAGCTTGGTAAGAGAACCACCAGCCCCGTTCCGCGGTGCCCATTACCTGCCCTGCCGATCGGGGATTTACGGGTGCACGCGTCAAAATCGAGCAAGATTAGGAGGCACTAAGTGGGCTTTGGGCCATCTGGAATGGCTTTGGAAGCCCCCACCAAGGCATGGAGCTGTGTGCACCTCATGGAGGCTCCTGTCTGCAGAGATGGTCCAACAGCACCTCATGATCCATCACTATGTCTTGCAGGAAAGCGAGTCCAGCTGGCCAGGCTGAAGAGCTTCATGTCCTGGTAGAAGACCATGGCATTTCACGAGTGCTGCGAAGGAAGAGATGTCCAGGAGCTCCTGCAGATGGAGGACCTGTTGCAAGACCAGCTCCAAGGTGCTGAAGGGTCTGTGGCAAGGACCACAGTGAATCGTCAGTTCCCCATGGCTGTGGTGGGGGGGGATTTGGTCCAAGATGGTGTCTCTTCACCCAGCGCCACCTGCACTACCAACAGCAGCTCTCCAACGCCCCAAGGACCGAACTTCATCGGCCGCCCCAGAGACACAGCCCTTGGCCAAAATGTGTTGCCTGAGTTGGCTGCAGGAGAGTTTGCTCCAGCTGTGAACGTGATGGTGGCTCTTGGGCATAAATTAATCAAAAAGGTCTGTTAATTAAAAAGGTGTTTTGCCTCTGATCGTTGGTCTCTTAATGATCTTCCACCAAATGGAGGCAGGAGCCTGAGTCCCACGCAAGTCCTGGCTGTAGACCTTGCCTCACATGGTTGGAGCCCATCAAGGCATTGCCCAAAGGCATGTCCAGCTCCGGGACCTGTTACCAGCAGCTCCCAAGTATGAGAGAGGATACATCTGGCAGGTCTTCCCATCAGGAAGGTCCACCAAAGGTCCTGTCTGATCCACTAGATGTTTGAGAAAGACTAAGGGGTAAAAGGGAAAGTTTGTGTTTGGTCTTGTGTCACCTGCCCCCTCTCCGGAGGGAGGGAGGCAGAGCAGTTGTCAGGTCATTGGGAAGGGCTGAGGGAGACATGTCCACATGGCTTTGTCCCATCCCTCAGCCAGCCACCAAAAAGGCTTTGATTTGCATTTCAGAGCTCTCTCGCACCCTTCTTCCCCACAAAACCTGGCAGAGATCCTGCCCTCATCCCTCTGAGGGTGCTGAGGCACTGGCACAGGTTGCCCAGAGAAGCTGTGGCTGCCCCATCCCTGGAAGTGTTCCAGGCCAGGTTGGATGAGGCTTTGGGCAACCTGGTGTAGTGGAGGGTGTCCCTGCCCATGGCAGGGGGGTTGAACTGGATGATCTTTGAGGTCCCTTCCAACCCAAAGCATTCCATGACTCTACGATTCCCCTCCAGATGGAGGGATGGCCAGGCAGACAGATGGAGAGCTGTCCTGGTTTCAGCTGGGACAGAGTTCATTTCCTTCCCAGCAGCCGGTGTGGCGCTGTGGTTTGGATCTCGGATGAGAAGAACGTTGACAACATCAAAACTCCACCCAAGCTGGAATTCAAACCAAAAGAGCACCTTCACGAGAGCAAGGTTCCACCAGGCGTTGCCTCCAAGCAGGCTCCTGTGCCTGTGAGAAAGGGTTCCAGTGGCCGGAGGGGGGATTCAGGGATTCACCCCTGTAACTTCCCGGACTCCAAAATCGGTTGGACCCCCCCACCCCCTGTGGAGGTCGTAGGGAATGAGACTCACGACGAAGCAGAGGTGCAGCTGAAGCCCGTGGAGGACTCCACGCCGGAGCGGGTGGCAGCGCCCTGAGAATCCGTGACTCTGCGGTAA